ACTGATGGTGTGTGTTGGTGTGTCCGTGTGTGTATCCCTGGTCTAAATGAATTGACATGCTCAGCTGTCTACCAGGAACCCCACAAACTGGGTCAGACAAGAGGTTCCTAGCAGTTAAAAAAAGGCTGAGATGTGTTTTTTTTTTCATGGTCTGGAATTTTTCCACGTGAGATTGCCTTGTTTATTTTGATGATGATGATGATGATGATGATTGTTCTGCTGACTCGCCTGGTTTTTTGACCTACATGATCCAAACTGCTGGGTTCTGAGGCAGGAGTAGATGATTCCTGTCATTAGTCATCCGTGCGAGGGTCCATACGACTCTTTTCATTATTTTGACATAAATCATGGTAATGCTGCGGTCAAATTCTTCCTCTCGGAGAGGTGCCCTCTCATTAGGGAGGCACGCGTTTTCCATTTTCTGCTGAAAAAATATAATTGAAGACAATGTGACAACTGTGAGAAAAGACACTACGAAGAGTGTGGTCATAATAGCAGGCGTACAGTATACAGCAAACCAAAAGTTCATGTTTGACATTGGCTGGGTCTGAACTAATCAAATACTTTGAACCAGGTTCCATGAGATACGAGTAATATGTTGAGTGTAGAAAAATGTGATTTTATTTTTCACTCTTTTTTTCTGATATATAGTCTAATATATATTTACATACATAAAAATCATTACCATCACCCACCCATCCAGAGCGATAGGTAGGGGATGGTAATGATTTTTAACTTGCATTCATGAAAAATCATCACATTTAACGTTATAACTCTATTATTCTAAGTTGGAATACGATCCATTTCATTGTTATTTTGAATTGTTCAGTCATTGACTGTCAGAGTTCTGTGCTTCAGGCTGGAGGCTGTAGTTGTGGACTACGCTGTGACAGTGGAGGTGGATGCAGCAGGAGTGAGCAATGAACTGCTGGACTATCTGACCGTGCAGTCCAGCCTGGTGGAGAACTTGTACCAGGAGGTGAAGGAGCTGCCCGTCCACCCAGAGAGCGGTAAAATGAAATTAGCACTGTTGCTAATTACTCTTATAGTACATCAACAGGACTGACTGAATTTCATTAGCATAATGGACATGCAAAGAGCAGAGCTGCACATATTATAATGAATGGACACACATTTGACCCAGCGTTAACAGTACAACAAACACTGAGCTTGAAAAACATTCCAGGCTTTTATTTGTCTCATATGTTTCTTATTTTGTCCTTTTTTCTGTGTCAGATGAGAACAAACAAATACTTAAAACAGGTCTCAGCTCAGAACTGAGGCATTTTTAATGGACCAATAACAGTCATCAGTTACGAAGCCTGTGTATTTGTTCTGTGCAGTAACAGCCTCATCATTAAAGGGTCTCCAAAGTCAAAGTCAGCAAAAAGAAAAAAGTCTGTTTGAAATCAGAGCCTGTAGGTTTTTAGGCTTTAATTTAATCCTTGATTCTGGCCCAGATCCAACTGATCTCACTGTTAACCCCTTCATCTCCAGCCATGCTACAGTTTGATGTGAATAAAATAGATGTAAGTAAAAGTCTCATGCAGCAGATGTGGTTGTTTTTTAAATATATATATAAAAGACCAAACAACATTAAAGAATATCTGTTCATCTTTGGATGAAAAACCACTCTGTATCACTTGTATCTCCTTGCAAAACTAATATCAAATATTTATTTATTAGAATTGACAAGTTTAGTGATTTTAAATTTCACAATTTCTCTGAAATGTGTTGGTTTAAAATAGAGATTAAGATTTTGTCTTCTTACAGCGTTAACATTGACCTAATTTCACTAGTTTTTGTAATGACTTTTTCCTATGTTGTTTTATTTTACATTATTTGCTCTACTTATTTTGTATAACTGTAAATGGAAGGAATCTTACTTATTTAAACAAAATAAATTAACAAAAGACAATTTTAAGAACCTGTTGGAATGTTAAAGTACAATAAAAAATGGAAGACTTTTTCCAGCCACAAATTTGAATGAACTAGTGTCTAGCTCACCAACGCACAGTCCAAGCCACCAGGATGATGCATGACAACGCTTCATCCTGTGAGAGCTCCTCCACCTCCCTCTATATGTGTGTGTCATTAATTAACTTATTAGTGACCTCCCCTGCAGGTGGATGCAATCTAATGCTGACATCAGTGATGGGCTGCGACATCTGAAGTAGTGTCTAAACAGTCTCATATGTTCTACATGTGTGGCTGCTGGGGAACTTTTAAAGCAACGCTTGGCTTGGCCTCTGCTCACACTTTAATATCCTTGACTCACGGTGGAGACTATTGACTCCAGATTGAAACACGGATTTGTCAGTGTTTGAGCCCAAACATAACTCTGTCAGTTGAAGGCTGTCGGTGACGGACGTGTTGCTGTCAGATGGCTTCAAAGATTCAGCACAGGACATTTGACACTGCTGCACTTGTGAAATTTAGGAGAGAGCTGACAATGTAGCATAAAACAGTAAATCTATTTAAATCCCCCAACTAAAGAAGACAGTGACATAATGTTGTTTTGTTCTAAAACCAATGGGCAGAAGCAAACATTGTGATTAAACATCACAACAATGTCTCTGAGAGTGTTGTTTTCTAACATAAAAAATTGATTGGTTTTCATCTCACAGGGTTAATTTACTCTAATTTACATTTTCCCTAATTTTTTTTTTCAATTGCTGTGATTTTTTATTAGTATTTGAATTTTTTTCAAACCGGTTTATATCATTTCTTGGCAAATTATTAGGTAACCATGGAAATGTTTTGACTACTTTTATGATACTTTCAGTAATTCGCTAGGCTAACTTAGCTTAAATTTAGCTACATATTCTTATAGGTATGAATATTCTTATTCCTATATCGTAATCCTCTTAACTAGTTAGTAGGTTTCGCTTTCTTATTTACGATGGATAAATGGTTATCTTCATGGCTAGCTTTGGAAGATTTCTCGGCATATTTGTCTACTTTTTTCTGGTGTCGATCTTTGGTGTTGTAGAGCTCCTTTTTACATTTTTTTTGGTGAGTCATTAGTTATATTCAAAATCAGTTCATCAAAATCATGTTTTGTTAACATTTGTTGTGTTTCTGCTTATACAGTGTCTGAACCATCTGAGTCTGTCACCATCGCAGATGAAGCCTGGGTGAGTATCAGCTTCTGTACGTGCTACGACTGTTGTTGTGTTGTTGTGATAGGCTGCCAAAGACTTGTGATGTTTCCCGGACCACACCAGAATAGGTAGAGAGGATGAGCTCATCGTCATCCAGCAAGGATGAACTGAAGCTTTGAGGATTAGTTTGCCCTCTTGCTATAATAAACCGCTGCTATTCTGGGGCAGAGGCTGCAGAAGAAAACACCGCAGCGAGTCGGGACTGGACGTATTAGTTCATTACAACGAGAAATACTATCTACAGCCGGTCTTTACTCATACTGTCTTGTGGTGAAGTGCGTTCTCTGATGATAATTTGAATTTGCCTTGCACTCAGGGCTCCATCACTTTAGACCTTGACTTTGCTGAGTGATTAATTTGCCTTATTATCTAAAATTGGGGGCTGGCAAACTTTTCATCAGCAGTCAGAAGCAGGGAGCTACTGTTCCACTGAAGCATTTGTCTGCCACAGTATTGAGATTTAGCCCCAGCTTGAAAGAAAACTTCTGCACTACTGTTTGTGTTAGTGCAACTGTAGATGTAATTAGAACAAAGAGGAACTCTGCATGAAAAAACAAACAAACTTGTTTGTATATAAATTTGTTGTAATTTAATATCATACCTTGGTGCTACGATAACAATGTTTTTTTTAATGTAGAGATTTTTACATTCTTGACTATCAAATCTGGGGTGTTTCCACATTGGCCTACGGACATTAAACGCATTAAATGTTTCTTTTGTTGTTATAAATCTGTCATAATCACCGCAGCAGTTATTTGAGGAAGGAAAACAACCACTTTAATAATTAAACACTTTTTATAATTGTTTTTAAATTGTGCTTGATTGCGGTGTGAATTAATCACACAAATCACTTTCACCTCTTGTCCTCTTAAATTTAACCCCACCCTGATAATTTGCACCTCTTTGTGTGAGGGTAGAAGGGTAGGTTGGACTGTTCAAAGATTACCAGTGTCAACAACTGGGACTAAGAAATATGTAAAACTATCTGGAATAGAGAGGGTTAAATAAAACAGTTGCAAAGCTAAGACTAATTATAATATGTAAAGCTTACACGTGTCTTTGACTTTTGTATTTTGCTGATGGCATATTGTTTGTGAAATCTTGTAAATGGCTATTAGTGTAAGTTGCTCCAGCGATTTTTATGATTTTAAAAACATAGTCCCTTATATGAGTAACATTTAGGTATCTAATTTTACAACAATGTTTTAAACGTTGTCCTTTTACAATAAATGAACTTAACAACACACTCTTGGGTCATCAGAAACTTGCTAATGTTGCATTGCGCTTGTGATGATATTTTGGGCATGCTATGAGGTTTTGTTTATCATTGTACCTGAGTTTGTGAAGAATTACAGTGAAACAGTGGTGCATTTAAGATCATGACATTCACTCTGTGCTGCAGGTGGAGGGTGATGCAGGTTTGGAGAACTCACCCGAGGTTATAATCCTGAAAGAGGATGTCCTGTCTGAGTCCTCGGAAACCGTCACGGAGGTAACGCCGGGAAATGACATCATTGTTCTGGAGGAGACTAATGTTGTGTCTGCAGCTCCGGACCAGAGCGGCGAACCTCATGCTGAGAGTGAGTCCTAATCCTGTACACACAAACACACACACACACACTTATCCTACTTTATCTACTTGTAATTATAATCCCTCTACACTTACGCAGGGATTCTCAAGAGCGTGTACACTTTCTTTGTCAAGTTGTAGTAGTTTCAGATGCTCTCCCTGTACTTCTCCACCGAACAGGTCATAGTATATAGTACTATTATATATAGTATATCTATATAGTTATACTACTGATTCATAAAGTATAAAAAGAAAGCTGTTGATAATGTATTGTTTAATCTGGTGTACCAAAGAAAAAACACACAAGAGAGGCATGATCACCTCTAAAACAACAGCAGTCATCATTCAGTATGACACTCACTACAGTCACATACAGTGACCTGAAGTCAACATTGACTTGAGTTAAGCTGACAGTGTCATTATGTTGTTTTGCTATTAGCAAATAAGTGAGAATGTACTTTGACCTTTATCCTTGCTGTTGTATAAATTACAGCCCCTCAGTATCTGCTGTCTACTTCTAATGTTGGTCCAATGTTTCACTCAGGGTCTCATTTTTAAGCCCAGTTAGGGGCGAAATTTGACACATTGCAGGGAACCAATGAATAGAGGCTATGGAGACACAGGTTGTGGAATCACCGTCTAGTCCATGCACATGAAACGATAGTAAAACTTCAGTACTCACTAATTGCTATTAAATCACTCATGATGACAGACACATGGACGTTCTGCAGTTTTTCAGTTACAATTTCTCTAGTTTTCCCACGATGATCTGTGGGGTCTGTTTCTATTGCAGGAGACAAGCAGACAAAGTGAGTTTTGTCTTTGTTTTTCCAGGCATTGCGGAGGAAGGTCTGCTACTGGAGGACATTGAGCAGACAACAGCTGTAGAAACTGCTGCACTACAGGAACTCCCAGAGGAACATCCTGCTACTGAGCTACCAGAGGATGTCATGTTACCTGAACCAGCAGTGGATGCTGAGGCCTCTGGAGAGCTGGAGGACCTGCTGTGGCCAACTGAAGCTGCAGAAGAAAAGAAGGTTTTGTCTTCAGAGGAGACACTGGTTGAAGAGACAGATGCCACTTCTGAAGATGATACAGTAACAGTGACAGAAAATTCACCTGCAGAATCCGTGACCATTGGAAATCCTTTCGCAAATCTAATTGCAAATGAGGTTCTGAAGCAGCCAGAGAGCTTTCCAACTCAGACCACGTCAACAGGAGAAGAAGAGAGCTTGCCTGCTTTGGTCCAGCCACCTGAGGTTGTAGATACTGTGGAAGTATCAGAACCAGAATCTCCAGAGACCAGTCTGCTTGATGAAGACCTAATGGATAAGACGGGTGTAGAGGTTTTACCAGAAGAAAATGTCAGACCTGATAATGTAGACATGAACGTAGTGTTAAGTAATTCTGAACTATCTGAAACTGGTGACGAACCCATATTTGAAGATCACGGTCTGCAAGAAGCAACAGCTGGTAAAGGTCAAGACCTGGAAACAACTGTGGTTGACCCAGAGATTCTAGGGCATCCTCTCATCTCTGAGGAAGATCTTACAGAAGATGAGATCCTGCTGTTGAACCTCGGTGAACCAGAACCACCAATAACAGACTCTCTTGAACCTGTGGAACCAACACCTCTGTCCCCAGAGAAGGAATCACCTTTCACCCGTATCGGTGACGCAGACCCTGCCTCAGAGGGACAACCCGACATTTTGGAGGAGGTAAAAAAAAAAATCAATCTGAAAACAAATGGGGATTTAGTTTTATTGTTGCAAATGCAATTAAAGAAACAATCTACCAAACCAAGCACAGCAAAAATCAAACCACATGTTCAAGTCAACAACCTTTGATCCATCTTCAGCTGCTTATCCTGTTAAGAGGAGCTGGAGACAATCCCAGCTGACACTGGATGAAAGACAGAGCAAGTCAAAAAATAAATTAAAAGAAGACATCATACATAAACTAAGCATAATTTGAAACCCAAACAAACATGAAAAGACTAAAGTTATTTCTCTAATGTAGAATCCAGTCACAGGTTAAATATTGCAGAAATTGTTTTTCAACACTAAAATACTTGCTTTTTTGGGGTTTAAATTTATTTTCCCACTCATTAGACTCAAATGTTATGGTAATAAAGACAATAGTTATTAGGTCTGAAAGAACATAATAGTTAAAGTATAGCTTTAAAAAAACTGTAATAATCCATTAATCTATCTCCTGATAATTAGTCCTTTTCAGGGTTGTGGTGCGGCTCCAGTTAATACATTGACATTTTAAAGACTTACAATTTGAAGGAGTTATCTCAACATCTTTTGATTTTGTTTCCAGCAGATCCAGATCAGGGAAGAAGGTTTGGAGGATGTCATCTCAGAAGACCAGGGTTTCGATGTGTTCCATTATGGTTACGGTTTAATGAACCTCACTGAAGAGGGCAGCACTGGGTTCCCTTCCAGTGTAGCACACGGCCCTGATCAGGCCAGCATCCCTCTACCTGAGAATCCTGGACGGGCCCTGATGGTATTCTTCAGTCTAAGAGTCACAAACATGGTCTTTTCAGAAGATCTCTTCAACAAGAGCTCTGCAGAGTACAAAGCCTTGGAGCAACGGTTCATAGAGCTGGTGAACATCACATGACCCACTCATTTGTGTTGTTTTTACACTACTGTATGAACAAACAAGTGAGATGGTTCAAAAATCTTTTTTGCAGCTTGTGCCGTACCTGCAGTCCAACCTGAGTCACTTTGAGAACCTGGAGATCCTGAACTTCCGCAATGGAAGCATCGTGGTGAACAGTAGGATGAAGTTTGGGAAACCTGTGGCTCGTGCTGTCACCAGCACTGTATATTTGATCCTGGAGGACTTCTGCAACACGGCCTACCAGACCATGAACCTGGCCATCGATAAGTACTCTCTGGATGTAGAGTCTGGTGAGTGACGTCCACTGGTTGGTTGATGCTGAAAAACCAAACATATAATATATATCAAATATAAAAGTTACAAATCACAAACAAAAGCTTACAAATCTATAGTTTGAAATTAAATATGTAAAATGAATGCATTTTTTAAACAGATACAATTAAGTAATAAAAATGAAAGGAAAATGTTAATACATTTTTCAAATCAAGCCAACATATATATAAATGAATAAAAACCGCAAATAGATAGGAAAACGCAAAAAAGTCAATGCCTAAATGAATGACATAAAATGAACGACAACAATTAATATCAAATTAAAACTAAGCCTGTAAACAAAGTCATCACACATTTTTTTTTTTGCGTTAACTTTCAGGTGAGCAGGCTGACCCCTGTAAGTTCCAGGCCTGTAATGAGTTTGCACAGTGTAAAGTGAACAAATGGTCTGGAGAGGCCGAGTGTGTGTGTGACGCTGGATACTTCAGTGTGGACGGGCTGCCGTGTCAGAGCATCTGTGAGCTGCGGAGCGACTTCTGCCTCAATGATGGCAAATGTGACATCATTCCTGGACAGGGAGCCATCTGCAGGTGGGTGAGGATTAAATGAGTGTGGTTCTCTGTGCGTGTGTGTGTGGGGAAAAAGGTTTGCTATCAGAAAACCCAGAACAAATCTACTCTGGTTTTAACAGTGGGGCCACAGTCCATACATTTTCAATACTAATGTTATGTAATGTTTCTGTCTGGTTATTAATCAGAATCAGTCTGTATAAACAAAGGAAATATTGATTTGAATAATATTGTTAATTAACTAGTTAATTATACCACAGAAATATTCCATATGTTGGCAGTAACCACACGGAAAAACTTGTTTTCTTTGCGTCAATGCATAAAACTTTATTTACCCTAAAATAACACAAGTCAAGATGGTTTTGATGGTCGGCTGACTTTCAGATGTTTTGGGAGTTTGAAGCCTTTCTTTCTTTTCCACACTCCACCTGAACCTCAGTGTGCTGCTGAGCAGGTAGGAACTGCCACAACAGACCTGTAAAGTTCGCTTCTGCTAAAATGATGGTCCATTAATGATTAAATAATCAAAAATCCACTCCCGTCATGGAATGTTTGCTACAGTGATGGGAGAGTTATTTACAAAAACAATGTTCTGATTAAAAGTTTGGCTTCACTCGAGGAACATTTGTTTGAGTGGTAAAAAAAATCTAAGAGATTCTAATCATAAATTAAAATAAATAAATTGAGCAAAGTTTGTTTGTTTCGAATGGTAACAATTATAAATCAGTAAAATGTCAATGTCAATTTTAGGCAAACAGTAAATCAAGATTCAACCTCTCGCTTGATACATGCCTGAGCCTGTCCATCCAGGCAGCCTGTGGTCTAGTGTTAGGATCGGCCTCAAACACTGGCTGTGACTCAGGAGATAATAAAAAGTGTGTAATGACATATACAATAATGACTAAAGCTGCTATTAACCAAACCAGCAGACTGACTAAAAACCAACTGACCACTAATCATTTATCTACGACCATTTTTAAACACAACTAACAGAAATACCAACAATTGTGCAAACCAATCGAACAACTCGGTTATTTAACCAACCATTTATCCATCCAACCAACCAACCAACTAATCTACTGACCATTCATGCATCTGCCAATCCATTGTGAAATATTTAACCAGATAACTAATCCACCTTTTCCTTGACATTAAGATTGAACTGTTGATACAGTTGTTGAGCCACAATTCCTGTAATCTGATGATACTCCCCCGTTGTACGTGTCTGAGACACGTCCCACTGAAGCACGTGTTCAGATTACATATGCACAGTTCTGTGTGTGAGAGACAATCAGTGACAGGAACACGTGCTCTGGCTCCTCTCTGACTGTTATATACATTTGCCTTTCACTTCAGTGATTATAAACAGACACCCTTTCAGACTGTGTGTGTGTGTGTGTGTGTGTGTGTGTGTGTGTGTGCCAGGAGGTGTTGCTAACTTCTGATTCACACCTTCTACCTCATCATAAAACATTTGTGCAGCTCTGAAAGCTGCTGAGTCACTTGTTTTCTCCCTCCGTGTCAGACTTCACGTAATATATTTTTCCTTGGAAACAGAAAGCAAATGTTAAATTCCAAAAACAAGGGTAATCATTTAGTGACATAAACAAAATTTTATAATTGCAGCGCTCCTTCCACTTTGTCAACATGAAATGAATTATTCTAACATTCAGCAGAGGATAAAAGAAGAGGACCGTTGATGAGAATTAATGACCTGGTTCTGCTGCTTTGTGAATATTTGTGTTTTCCAATCTGTTTTTACAGCAGATTGGAAAAGTCGTTCCCTGACATTGGGTCAAATTCTCGTCCTTATTTCAGGTGCCGTGTTGGAGAGAACTGGTGGTACAGAGGAGAACACTGTGAGGAGTTTGTTTCGGAGCCTCTGGTGGTTGGTATAGCCATTGCTTCTGTCGCCGGTTTCCTGTTGGTGGCGTCTGGCGTGATCTTTTTCCTGGCAAGGACTTTACGGGACCAGTATGACAAGGATGAGTCAGAGGATCCAATAAGGTGTGCAAAAGCCAATAAAACAACCCCAAATAGTCTATAGATTAGTACAGAGAGAATAGTAAGGAGATAATTAACTTTGGAGGCCTAAAACACTACAACTTGATAAGAGAAAACAAAATTGGCAGATAATATATTAAACTTAGTCAATAGATGCCTTTTATTAAGTGAAATACTCACAAAATGTTGTTTTTAGCTAAAAAAGAAGTTATCCCAGAAATTGCCAAAAAAATGTTTTAAGAATCTCTTTTTTAAAGATGTAGAAAAACTTAGCCAAAGAATCCAAAAAGTACCAAAAAGAGCAAAAAGGTACCTCAACAATAATTAAACATTTATATTTTTCATTCATTCATTGACACCTTTACAGTTAGCCAAATAGATTCCTAATACAAAGTTAAAATATAAAGAGACAATAAACAGCTAACAGTTAGTATCTATGATAGGAAAGATCTAGCCCAGGAAGAGTAACAACACCACAAAAAAATGTCAAAATAAGCCAATAGTTTCACAGGTGCAGCAAAAGTTGCAAGACAATTAATTCCCTTCCCTGATATTCAGAACATATAACCTTCAGCACTTAGTTCAATAAGATAAATGGCTTACGATGAACTAACCACTGAGAATTCTTCAGTCTGCTAAAGCGATTAACTCTCCTCTTGTGAATAAACACAACTTTTTTTTTCTTTTTGATAGTGAACAGAAGGTTTTTTTTATTTTTTTTATTTTGGGAGACTTTTGTTCTCTGTACGTAAACAGCTTTGAATTAAGGAGTCTGGTTATTCTCTACAGGGTTTAGAATTACTTTCGACACCTCGGAACTTTATCCTTGGGGATTCAGCCAAAATCATCCTCCACACCATCATTTACAGTCCTTAGTTCTCAGCCCTTCTTCCTCTGGCTTCTTTAACCAATCTGCTCTTTGAACTTCTTCTATGTTTTGCAGAAAAACACAGACTTGTTAACACACAGAGTATCTGTTATCTTCTGTATACATAACTGCTGCCAACAAACAGATAATTATTTCACTGATCTCCCACAGCTGTCCATGACAGACGTATAGATTCAGAATTTTATTTTTGTTTCCAGGGGCAACTTGTAAAAAAACATTAGCTAATGTTCAGCTGGTTTAAACTGGTAAATGTTTGACAAATATGTTTTTACTTATTTGCAGCTTTTGTTTTTCTTTCTTTTTTTTTTAGAAAAGTTTTCTGTTTGGCTAGCCTAGGTCATTTTTTAATGGTTACTTAATCTGTAATCTTAAATAATACACATGGTCTTGTTACCCCCACAGCAATGCGGGTTACTTCTTCAAACTGACTCTCTTGTTTTCTGCCCTGACATCAAATTCACACCTGCTGTTTTTCAGAGGGTCAGAAAGTCTCCCATCTCTGGAGAGGGCGACTAAGTACAACCCCATGTATGAGAGCGAGGCGACTACAGGCTACAGTCACTACTACCGCCGTTACCCTGACTTTCCAGTTTACAGCAGTGCCAGCGCCGAAGCTTCTACAGACTTCAGCAGCGAGGAGATAAGACACATCTATGAAAACAGTGAACTGACCAAGGATGTAAGACTGCTGACTATGAAGGACTGCACTGTTGTTCTTGGGTAGTAGAGTGGGTTTAACTAGTTTATCAGTGTGTCTTTGACAAAACCCTAGATATGATGGAAATACAATGTGATGTAATTCTTACAGTATATGCTGTCCCAATGCTGTCTGAAAATATTCTTCATATGAACGGGTAATAACAACTGTGTAGACTCAGGTGTGTTTGAAACTAAAATATGATCACAGAGTTCAATGTAACTACAGGAATCCTTCATAACAGCTTCTGCACATTGAGATTTATGCACCACTGACACACGAAAGCTCTGTTTTTGGAAAACGTTTCAGGTCCTAGGACAAAGATGGATGGATTTAATAAAAAAAAAAACACATCCCCACCTGCACTTTCAATGTGCAGAAAAAAAGAGAATTCCTCAGGACACTTTAAATGCCAGGAGTAATAACCAGGGGAAAACACATAGTTTTCCCTTTTCACATCCACGTCTTACAGAAGCTGCAGTCTTTAAGTGCCACTTTCTCTCTTTCACCAAACTCTTTGGCATCTCTGAACTCATTTGGTGTAATGTCTTATTTAGTTTGAGCCTCCGCCTGTTGGTTTTACTGTTTATCTGTTCGTGATGTACTGGTCTAACGGTCCCTTCTGACTGATATCATGTGTTTCTGCAGGAAATCCAAGACAGGATACGCATCATTGAGCTTTACGCTAAGGACCGGCAGTTTGCAGACTTTGTACGACAGCATCAAGCGTGAGTGCCCCTCGTGATTTCCCACATTTTACGCCACAATGAGATAAACAGCCCTAGGCAGGATACGTTGAGGAAACTGGAAACAAGTTAGAGATAAGTTGAGCTGACAAGATCAGATGAGTAAAAAAACCCAACAAAAAACAAGATTGGTTTGTTGGTGGAGCAGGAGGAGACAAGAGAACCAGAACAGGCCAAATCAGTGTGGAGGCAAATTCATTATTACTGAAATCTTCTCCAGCCCAGGGTGAAGCTGATACAATGAGACAGAAACAATTACGACACACAGACATTCCTTTGTCTGCCAACACTTGGCAGCAGCACGGAGATTTGTGTAACGACTGCAGTGGTATGTTAGTGGGATCTGGCCATAGAACCTGATCTCTGTGCCACAGAGAAAGTCTTAGTTAAGTTGCAGGAACTTGTTTTTGCAGCAAGTTAAGTTACTAATTTGAGAGATTTCCAGAGAATTTTCAGAGAAAATAAGATCCACTGTGTTTTTGCATATTTCTGTGTGTGCCGCAGTGTTTTGGATAACTGTCGAGAGAATTCCTCTGCACAGACTTGAAGCTCTGCTGTGAACAACAAGGTATTTCCTCCTCATTTGTAGACTCTGTTCTAGGATTTAAGAATTAGTCACAAGTACAAAACCCCTCAGAGATCTTAGTAAAACAACACCACCGTTGGCCATACTGGAAATCAATTCATTCATATATTTCAATTATGAATTCAATTGTAAATAAATTAAATGGGCATTGATGAAAAATTAGAGTGTTAGTAGCAGCAGATTTGAAGGTCAAGTGTAGAAGGTTAACTGAACAAACTACTGTAGCTAATGGATTCTACAAACTACTATTGTAGCCAAAAAAAAATTCAAATTGAGTTCTAAATTTTAACTGATTTTGGCCAAATCTGGAGGGAAAAAAACCCAGAAAGATTTATGCAGTACATACACATCTATTGCTGTGTATTGTCTGGTTTGTATTGGTCATATCAGATATGTTAAACAGAAAGCTATGTTCGATCCTATCATCTCTGCATCAATTCAGACATCCTGACATTAAATCTTTAGCTTAGCACAAAGGCCTCTAAGAATCTGTGATAACCTCCTTGTTATCATTTAGGAAAATAAGTTGGATTAAAGATTTTAATAAAGAGCTCTGTGTTCTTGGCTGAGAACAGTTGGAAAAAGAGCAAAGGACACACCAGAGAGTGACTGGAGCTGGAGCCAAGATGGAGCCAACCGTACAAATCCCTATTAAAATGACAAATTGACATTTTATTCTTTTTGGACTGTTGTTGTTTTTTTTTTTACTGGATCGAGCCAGGAGAAGTGCTTTCAGTCTTTAGGTTAAGTGAGGTAATGTTTAAGACGTTATCTCTAAGAAGAAGCTATCGTGCCTTTATGCTAGCCATGCAAACACAATATGTTGTGTGTTCTTAATGTTTGACATATTTTTTTTTACTTTGTTGAAACTTACACACGTCTTCTCCTTCACAGAAATACTTCTGTGGTTATATATAAAAAAGTGGAGTTCTCTGGGACTTTCTTCTTCTTGGCCACTCTTCTTGGCGCCTGGACTGCTGTTTTTTTAAAGGACTGTCACTCAGTGTACTAATATTTTCCTACTGAAGAGCCCTGCTCTGTCTGCATGTGTGGGCAGATGTGCTCAAACTTCCTCCTTCTTCCTCGGTGCCTTATCTTGATTGGATGAGCTTTCTTTGACATCACAGTTTATGTTTTTCTTTTTTTGCTGCTCACGTACTGCACACCTCTCTTTACACTGGACTCTACCCATCTACATGAACTGTAAACTAATACATCACTAGGCTGTTATTTTACAATTTTCTTTTGTTTATTTTCCAACAATCTTCAGGGAAAAATGTGAATAATGAAAGTGTTTATGTAACATATGTTATATGAAGATGTTTACTAGAATGTAATGTAGGACATGTTTACCTAAATAACAAACAAATGCAATCTTTTTGTCTTAGTTAATCTGATATAAAATCATGTCTTTTATACAAAAATCGACTTTTTTTGGCAGGTGCTCAATGTTCTGCCTGTGTACGGCCACTTTAACTGCTATTTACTATCTTTTAAATCTTTAATTTGGATCTTTTAGATGCTTTAATGTTAAATTTACACTAAATGAAGGTCTTACTCTATGGACCAAAAAATTGGTTTGTGAGCTAATGTCTATGACTGACTGGTTTAAAAAGGTTTAGTAAGTTAAAGTATTCAGTAAATGGAGCATCGGGCGGGGGGGTGTGAGGTAAACAGACAAATGATCATTTAGATTCAGTTTAAAGTCCACAAATAATTTGTACTAGTCTCTAGGAGGACAACACAGAGCTACAAAAACAAGACTGACTTCAGTCAGACTGAGTGTAGAATTGTGCAAACTGTTTATGAATTATACCAAGTCAGTTGTTTTAGTTCTCAGTGAACAGCTAAGACAAATATTGTACTAATGTGGAAAATCTATTATTCCTGTCATTTCATTATTGAATGAATACAGTATATCAACTTCTGCTAATTTCCCCCAAATATTGACTTTTCCCTTTAAGGTGGCCAAAAGTTCGTGCTTGAGTGAGCGTTCAACCAGTGTTTCCCAAAACTTTTATAACTTTTAAAGCTGGAAAATTGAAAATTGACCTAACCTGATGGTGTAATAATAATAATAATGATTAAATTAGTGAGCAATGTTTAACCCATTTTATTGCCCTTTCTTCAACATTGTTATTTTATTTTAGAGAACTGGCATTTACACAGATATATTTCTGACCAAGGACTTACAACATCATTTTATAACTGTACTATTTAAAGCACAAACACATAAATCTTTATATGCCTGCAGATTTATTTGGCAACTCCAAACAAATTTGCTGCAACCCATCTGTGGGTCCTGTCCGTGGCCCAGTCTCTGGAAGTGACAATGTTGTACCATTAATCAATGCAGAAAGGGGGATGTGACCGTCTGAACTATAAATGGAGGCTAACCACAGCCAGTTTTCTGCTGGCAGATGAAGCTTCGGCCATCTTTAAAGACTCCCATCAGTCAGAGGCAACAGTGGATGTTTTGTTTGTAAATGTATAGCGTCGCAGACATGACAAAATAAAAACAGTGGTGAGTTGAGGCCGAGGGAGTTAAGCGTCAACCCTCCACTGTTCTGGGATCCAGAAGTAAGTGAAAACACATTTAACTGGAAAAATGTTGAGAGGCAAGAAGAGCCAGGGACTGGATCAAATGACCCGCCTTCAGTTCCCATATGTAACGCAACTGAGAGTATAGGAGAACCGGGAAAAGTCAGGCTATAAACAACACGTGTTGCTCGGAAAGAAACCCTGGACGGAGGGGGGAGGGGGAAGATTCAAGGTTACCCACAATTACATCACGTGTGACAAAAAAAGATGTCTGCCTACTTGTTTGGTCATGATCCTCAATCTGAAACTTTCTGACAGAATAATTCCAGTATTTTCTCTGGTATTTTTATATGTTCTTCCCAGGACTTGTTGTGCTTGACCTTTATAGTCCTCTAGTGGATCTCCGCAGCTGCAGCCCATTAGGGGCTGTAGCTTCTCATTTGTCCTCAGTCAGTGTGATGGTCAGTTTTGTTAGGCGCTCAGAATCAGTCACATAGATCATGTCCTGCACACTCTTGTTTACATTACATGCTGTTCTTCACACCCAGGTGACAGCCTTTTTTTACCTGCATCTTTAAAGGTCTATCATGTCCATGTTACTCTTTTTGCATTTGAACATCTCTTGCTACCTTTTGTTACAAAGTAGGTTTGTTACATTTAATGTATTGTTGAGTAGTAGTGTGCAGCTATGTTAAAATTATCCAATGGCAGATAAATACATGGGAAACTGAGAAGCTGCAGAAAAGTACTTGATGGTAGTGCAATAAGTGTATAATATATTGCAAAATGCATTGACCATCATTTCCACCTTGTGTCACTGGAACAGTTTCACCAAATTAGTTATGAATGGATACTTATTGCGGATTTGGTTTTGGTCTCCACAGCCATAGAGACTAAAACCAGAACAGCTGCCTCACACCAACTCATTTCATATTATTGTCGTCATTTGTGTTTGGTACTTGGGCCACAACTGTATTACTGACTTTGTGATTTATTGGCTTCTTCAGCTACGCTGCTGGGCCAGGTACTTAGTAGCTTCCCGATAATCCGTGGGGCAGATTAGCCTCAGCAGGTGTGGATTATCGGCTCGTCAGTGGCATTTCTAAAACGGTACATACTAGTAATCATCGTGCGTCACACTTTCCAGTGTGCCAGAATCTCTCTGTGTATTTTTCCAGTCTTTGCAAGTGCAGGGCTGTGTGCAAATGTTCTATTGACCTGGCAAGACAATACAAAACCTAACAATGTGCCATTGTACTGCGTGTAGAAGAAATCAAGTCCATCTGTTCTCTGTCTCTTTCTTTGGAAATGCATTGTTCCAGAGGTTTGGATTATATCTGGTGTGGTTTTGGTGAGGTCAGTGGGTGTGTTGTTGGCCAGTGATTGTGTCGATTAATTTGACTTCATCTTAAAAAAATATCGTAATCACTGCTGTGATCACACAGCAGGGTGTTCCCATGTTGCACTTAATCGCTGGACACAGCAGCAAGTGGTTCTGCTGTGACCCAATTTGGACTGTTTCCCAGTGTGACGTCAGTGTCACTCCAGTTCACAGCAACATGGGTGAAAAATGGAAAACAGGCAGTGAGGGAGGAAATCGTTACTGCACGATGACAGGACGACATGAAGTGTTTTCATCCTGGACCGTGAGGAAGATGGTTCTTTACCCGGCGGAATGAGTCTACACACTACAAAGTTCAGATTGAAGGGATTTGAAATAATAGCTATATATGATGACAGAAATCTTTCACTGAGAATCAATGTTTTAAAGAACAGACAGTAGCAAAGCCAGTGCTTCCTCACAAGAACCAGACCATGGGCCGATGCTCCTTTTATACCAAATCTTGATACTATTTTTTTTTCTTTTACCAATAAACTGACAACAACAACTAATAGTTATATGAGATTTTGAGCTAGTGATTTACATTTCCATGTTTAACATGTATTTACAGAGTGCATGATATTCTATATTAGTTTCAGTTGTTAAACAGGATCATTTTTGCTGAGACTATAAACATAATACAGTAGTTCCTAAATATGACCATAACCCTAACATATCTCTTCCTGTATATTGCAGGAACAAAAAGACAAATAACAGCAGGTGGATGTATCTGTTTCACAGCTGTTTCGTCCTCAACCATGCATTGACAGTTATGTCAGTCAGTCTGTCAGCTGTAGACTTATTTACTGCCCAGTGCTTGGTGAGGCTGACTAATGTCTGACCTGAAGCTGACGCCTCACAAACACATGCGAGATGGGATTTTAACATCCAGCTGCTTTGAAAAGCAAAACCTCTTTCACAGCAGAATGTGTAAATACCATGTATTGACTGTGTATTTTATGTGTGTGTGTATATATAGATATATATATGTAACATATTACATATTACAAATGTATCCATAAAATGCACTGTCTACTAATAATATAATAATATTACACATATATATATACATTTAAAGTTGTATACCTAATATTGAACTTGAGTCAAACTTATCTTTGATGAAACAGAATAACTTTCAGCTTTTAAGTATTTACTTGATGAAAACAAAGTGCAGCTCAGCAGACTTCCTGTAAAGGACAATTTGTCTGACCACAACGTGAACACAACGGAAACTAAAACCACCCCTAGTCAGGTTTGATGATGTAGAGACCTGTCAGCAATAATAGCGTCGCCATGTCCTTAATATCATCCTTAGCTGGGATTAAATGTCTAACAAATGTAGATGAATCACATTGTGAAGAGTGAAATAATTTGGAGGAAATCTAAGACACTTGAGTCCCTGAGGCTCTGGTGTACACTTGGTACTGATGCTGCTGGATGCCTTGCTCTTAGATCAAGACTCCTGATTGGTTCTTCTTACTTCAATTTGTTTCACCAGCTCGACAATAAGTCACTTTTAATGTGAAGATTTGTTTTTTATGACAATCTCCTCTGTATCAGTGAAAACTGGAATGACCTTTGATTTTTTCAGATTTTACTTTTGCGATGAGTGTGTGGCCTTTTGGATGAGTCTGATCTGATCCTGTCCAACCACAAGTGGACCATTTTGTGTGAAATGGACTGTGAAAAATTAATACGTAAATCACTGGGGAACTCATCGTTGTTACAGGCAATTGTAGCCTTCATTATTTTCTCCGTACTGTAAATCAAACGAGTGCCGGAGCAGAACAACACGCCTGCAGAAATAGAAAAAAAAAAAAAAAAGGATTTTTGAGTTCTATCCTGAACAGGGATGGGAGGTTTACTAACGCTTTGATGGATGCTGGCAGAAGTCTGATCATTTAATGTGTGTTTGCCTGGGGCTCCTGCGTCTTCTGACAGACACTAATGATCTCTGCCGCTGTTTTCACAGTCATAAACCTCATGATGATGTAAGTGAGCATCTCTTCCGCCCCAGCGTTTATTTAACGACACTGATAAGCCTGCTGAGTGTCATCTGATATCTCAATAAGACGCCAGTCCTCCCTTGTGTATGTGCACTCTTGTTAAGTGTCTTATAAACGTCTAGTGATTTACGAGCACTTAAATGACAGAGCAAGCAGGAAGTGTAACCCAAGCTTTTGGCAGATGTTCCACAGGAACTCCACCATCTTCTCTGTACCTGGGCTGCTCCTCTTAAAGCTGGTACATCTGGATGTGGCCGTCTTTTCCGTGTAAGACTTTATGGAGTATTTTAAACAGCCGTCATGGAAGCCCACGCTCTTAAACACGACTAAAAACGAGAGTTTTCTCCAGCCCTCGACTTGCTGTCAAATTTGAAGGCTTCATTATATCTTGTCTAAGAAGCATGGAAGGGGACGACAAATCTGACAAAGCACGTAGTTGGATCACGTCCCCACGTTTTTGGCCAACGCGCCTCATCAGCAGTTAAATAACGTTCTGGGTGACCAAGAGTTCACTGGCTGATACGTGTGCAAATCATTATTCACGTTTTCCTTGAGTCCTACTGTCCTGACAGTCACTGCTGCAGGCCCCACTCTGTCCTGGTTTAAAGGAAGGGCCAGCATTCATCAATCTGTGCACTTATTTATTTCATTCCTCA